TTCAAAAACATAGAACTCATGTTCCTTTCGATTGTATTCTTATTTATAGAGACGGATGTATCATCTGTAAAATATCTGAAATATAATATTCAAAAAAATATTAAAACCCACACCAGACAGTTTCCTGGAGCCCGAGGTCTCCAAACATCCAAAAACAAAAGCCATTTAGTTTGAAATAACATAAAACCAAGAAAGGCAACATGTACTGATATCGAAGAAGCTGGAACAAGAAAATCATTGGCGTGTTTTGGTTAACAAATTACATAAACAATTGATTATCAGAATTTTTGGGTGCCCCCCCCATAGTCACGTTTTTTCCATGGGCACACCCATGTACAGATCCCCATTGCTGTTTGAGACGTCCACAGTTCTAGTCTGGCCATGGATCTAGTTTGTCACACCTCTCTCCTTTCTCTCTCACCCCACTTTTCTGTTTGTCTCTATCAAATAAAGCCCAAAAAGATTAAAAAAAAATTCGTGCTGATTCTCTAAAATTTAGCTTGTGTGCACAAACAAGCCTCTAAGTACTGTGCTGTCATATTGCATTGTTTTCTCCTGTGAAACGTTTAGTAAACTGATTGTAAGTATATAACTTTACCAAGGTGGTGATATTTCAGTTCACATCTACATGTTCACTTTTTAAACAGAGAAAATTAAACACATTCTGGCTTTCACTCTCACCATCTTACTCTACCTTGAGATGATTTTTCCGGCATAATGACATCTTTTTCCTTTACAGAAAACAAACAAATGGACAATGATTATGACATTTCTAGGAGTTTTGCAGATTCATAAAGTTATCTTAAGTCAGGTTTGGACTTACTCTCCCATCCTGGCTGCAGCTGAATCCTGGCCGTGGCTAGTATTTGAGAAGAAAGATGAATGAAAATACCACAGCTCTGTGCTCTTTATAAATGCTGGGTTAGCTGTGTGTGTGTGTGTGTCTGATGGACCAGCAGAAGTGGTCCTTCCTTATAAGCTATTGGTTAAAATGCAGACGGAAGGGCTGATGGTGGCAGCTGAGGCTGAAGCAAACACTTCAGAAATTTCTTCCACAAGACTCTTCAGACAATGTGAAACCATGACAAGAACTCCCACAAAGCAGAGCACTATGTTTGTGCCTTTATCTCTTTAATTCTTTAGAGCGACATCTCCAATGGACTGTTTAACCACTTAACTTTTGGGCTACAGACAGGACATCAATGCCAAAGACTGCTCATTAACATGTAAGGCTGCAGACTTAACGCATGGTATAACCTTGTATAAAGTTTGGCTATCCGTGAAACACATCAGTGAGTCACACTTTTGCACTGATATTAAATTGTTACACACACACACCACCCCACATACAGTGTGTCCTGCTGCCTCACATACTCACAGAGCATCAAATGTAGCACTAAAAAGTCTACAACAAAAGCACAGTTTCCTGCTGTCTCAGTAATGTTTGAAGAAAACTACAATTCCCAGCTCTTTCACTGCTGAATTAGCAGTTACAGCATTTGATCTGACAGGTATTAGTTAGTTCCCACACTAAGACTGTTGCATTTACAAACCATGAAGCCCATGATGACAAATAGAGCTGAAAAAATTTGTTGACTGAATCAGTTTGGAACTGCTTTGATAACCATTTTTCATTTTTTCAAAATGTGGTTCTTTTTTATATATATATCATGTTGAGGTTTGGAATTTTGGCTGAACAAAACAAGCATTGTGATTGAAGATGTCACTTTGGACTTGGGGTAAGTGGCTTTTACAAGCTAAATAATCAATAGATTAAACTAGAAAATAATTGGCAGATTCATCCATGATAAAAAAATATTCATTAGTTATACTACACTGAATTAGCTTTACCTCAACCAACAGCATTAAAATGGTATCTACACATTTATGCATGCATAATAGTTATAATAATAATAATAATGTGATTAAAATGTATGTACACTTATTGTATGTTACATTTTTAGAGTGTGGTAATGGGACAATTAAAGTCCAGTTTCCTAAACTATAGAGGGCTTTTTCTGCTGCCCTTGTTTTCCTCTGAGTCAGCTGAGCTGTAGACCGTAACAGCTGCTCATTTCATCTGTCTGAGTGTTTCATTATTGTTAGTTCACAGTAACTAGAGCTGGACAGAGATTCATCATAAGTAAGAATAAAAATATATTGCTAGACAGTGAGTAATGTAAAAGTGAAAATATTTAAATAAAAAATGATATAATGTCTAATCATGTTTCAAAAGTAAAAGTTGTTTTTACTGTATACAGTAAAACTGTTCATACAAAAGTTTGTGGATTATATTGGAGACTGGAAAAAAAAGCTCAAAGAGATCTTTATCAAAATGTGATCATCAAAATTCAAACCGCCAGTTTGGATAAAGTCACTTTAAAATGCCAGAATTACGTTTGACATGGAAGTTCATAGTGGGATGTATGTGTGACTTGTAGTGAACTAGAAAATGCCACCCAGCAGCTGTCAGCTCCAGGCTGGGACAATTTATTGCTCTTATTGGTTCCCATCATGTTCAGCTGCTCATCCACTTGGGGAGGGAAGGGGAGCAGCGCGCGCACACTCACACACTCGCACACACACAAATCTCCTCTTCCAATGTATTTTTAAAGCACGTTTTTGCAGCTTTCACAGCAACTCACATTTCACATTTGCATGTAAAAACAAACAAAAATCCAAGAGCCAAAAAGTCTAAGCAAAATTACCAAGCCAAATGTTTCCTATACTCTCCTATACTCCTAAACTGTCATATTTTAAATATGTATGCATACCAATTTAAAATGCACATTTAATCACTATAGCTTCTCCCTCCACCTCCACCTTCTCCCCTGGTGAAGAGGGGTCTGGAACTCTCCCCTCTCAGGTGAAGCCACAGGTCGGGGCTGTCCCTGTGAAACACCAC